ACAAGAAAAAAAACATACAATAATTTTGCTTAAGACTGCTGTAATGTGTTGATCATGACTCTCCAGTGTTTCCTCCGGATCTTCATCCTCAAAGTGGACACAAGCATTTTTGATCTTGGACTTTTTTGGAGGAGCTGGAGTTAGAGCTGGGAGAACATCAGGAAAACCTAGGAAGGAGAAGTAATAAGGAAAAAAAAAAAGCAGTCAAGTTACTTATATAATGACTGCGCATTAGGAAACAAGACTGAGGCTCCCTCATAGCACCTATTACTGCTCTGATGAGAAATAAAGATGAGGAAGCAACAACACAATTACGAGTCCTCTGCACTGGGTAGCAGAGAGAAACATCCTTGAGAATTTTATTACTTATGTATTGGCACAAGGTCTTTTCAAAGAGTTCCATAGGCAGGAAAGGGTACTGAGGTCTGACTGCAAGCACTAAGGGAAGAAGCAAAGCTGTACAGAAACAAATACTATCCTTGTAGGTTGTGTTCAGGCACAGGAAAGCATATTTCCACTGCCAACTGTAACAGTGAGGGATTTGTATGACCATGAACAAGTCAAAGCCTTCTTTTCACTTGCTGTGAATAGATCATATCTCCACTATCTGGAACTAGGAACTGCAAGATTTAAATTGTTGCTTTCAAAAAAGCACCTTGAGCTTCTGAGATTATCAAGCACATGACGAAAGTGTTACAGTTACTACTGATGGAGAAAACAAAAGCAAGCCAGATCTGCTGGCTGAAAGCTAGAGCTGTTAGCAGAGCTGAAATTCAAAGATGCTGAGAACAGGGTCTTGGATGGATGGCAAAATAAGCAGTGACTGTCCAATCAATACAAATCCCAGAAAACACTCTTGCTAGCAAGGTACCAGAGATAGCTGATAAATGTGGACAAAGGCAACAAAGGTGGTTCTACTGGATGCCAGTAACATTGGACGAGGGCATTTTCTAACAAGGCTAAGAATGAAAAATACTGCAGAGAGGACAAAAATGCGGGGTAAAAGTAACATTGGATTGAGAGGGAGGTGAAAGGCAAGCAGTGAGGAACATGAAAGGGACAGAGAATCTTAGTAATTCAAAGAAGCTCAAAAGAGGATTTACCATCCAACATGACTACATCTTTGCTGTCCTGTAGCGGGGGTCTCTCAGCATCTATGCTCCCTTCCTCCCCCTTCCTCTTATCTGCTTTCTTCACAATCTTCACTGCAGGTGAAGCTCTGGCTGCCAGGAACTGGTTTTGAAAGTGCAGCAGGTCTGCCTCAGACTCCCCAGGTTTTGGTCTTGACAACATCCTACCTTCTTGATCTTCTTGCAGCCTAGCCCTATGTGAGGTTCACATAGAACCTATTGAAGACACGGAAAACTGGTTACAACACTGGATTTCTTGGGGATAGGATTAGAACAGCATGGGAAAACTGTTCATTTTTGTCCCACTCTTATGTTCCTGTACATAATGTAGCCATCCTACTTCAGGATCATCCCAGGATACTAGCTGAACCAGAGTCCCAGACAAACCATTTGCCTCGTTCTTCATTGCTGAGCAACACACTACTAGACAAGCCAACACCTGGTCTACCAGTTCACTGGGAGCAGAAAGGCATTCATCCAGTAAAAAGCCAGCCAAAAAGTGCATCACTGACAGAATGCCAACAACACAGCCTTGGATTTGAAAAGACAGGGTAGCACCTGGTCCATGACAAGAGATTCTACTTAGTCCATTATCAACATCAACCAAGAAATCAGAGACACAGCATCACACAAATGTCCCCCCTCCAGCATAGCATCTTCTCCAGAGGCCAGCATTACCATCTCTGTAAGGATGCAAGAGCCTGTCCACATGGACAGGGACAACGCACTCACTGACTCTGTTTGCTCTCCTCCTCATTCAAATCTCCCAAGTGAAAAACGTTTCTTTTCCTGACATGGTTCTCCTGCTTTAGTTCTGTCTCACTCTTTCACCATCCTCTTATCGGGAGAAGCCTCCCTACTTCCAACCATCTTCATTCGCCGCCCAGGACAGTTTGGGGAGATTTAGAAAGACTTTTACCTCTGGCAGCAAGTAGAGTGTTTGCAAATACATTACACACTAATTGAATCACTGAGCAGCAATAATGCTGCAGACCCAACACCCTCCTACGCTTGAGAGGTTGAAACAATTTGTATGTATTTGATCTCTTCCACCTGCAAAAGCCCACCAGGACTCAATGATGACTTACTGTGAAGATAGAAAGGAAAGTGGACATGGATTTTTAATGGAACAGTTATCAGCCATATGGACAGGCTGCACACATGAGAAAGCGCAAAGCTTGGAAGTGAATCTCTCTCTTAAGTCAGATCAAAACAAAGTGCAATCATTGGGCAGGCACAGCCACTGCCCTGAAGCCAATGTCTGGTCTTATACTATTCATAACCCATTGGACTGTAAAATATGTGGGGAGCTATCATGTGGGAAAGATGTTAACAGAAACAAAAATTACTTCCTGCAGCATTTGTGAGCTACACTTGGAATTGTTACACTGCTTTCACAGATCCCGTTCTTCACCAAGATTGGCTAGGTGTCATGCTGCTGGTTCTAAGAGAACAAAGGCAGCCAGGAAGTTTGACATTTGGTTAGTGCTTTTAGGTAAGGCATTAGTGTAAAACCACCAAACACGTCAGACTCAACAAAATCCCTGGATTTTCAGGTCTTGCGAGGCTTCCAAGGACTCTCCATTCACTTCAGGACTTCATGACTGAGGAAACAGACCACTCCATCCAATGTCAACGTCACCAGTTACTTGCTGCATTTCAGGTATCCCAAAACACTGACATTTATGGAAGCTGTCAGCTCAAGAGGCCCACAACAACAGCTTCCCTGTACACCAATCCCACATATGGCACAAGCAGCAACAAGGGGAACTCCCCTGAACCCTCTCAACAATAAAGCCCTTCCCCAGCACCCAGGGAAAACACCCACTTTCTCTAACAGTGTGGTCAAGGACATTTATGGAACAAAACGCAAAAGCTGCTGCAGGGCAGGAAGGGCAGGGAGCACCCTTCTACAGTGCCTTGCTACTGTCACAGAAGGACTTCACACAACAACACCTGGGATCTCACTGCGGCTCTCACGGATGCTGAGAATGCAGAAAC